AACGTACAAACAAACGTTTTTATATATGGTTGCCTGTATGTGTGTATGTATATATATATAAATATATGTATTGAAGTTTAAATTTAAATAATGGCTTTGGTTATTTATGGTCTTGACGTTGACTTGATGTTTGACACGCGTCTTTTCGCATGAGTTGGGCGCAAGCGCGTCCACGCAAATTACGCCAAACCAGTTTGCTTACTTACTTACATACATGCATACTGCATACATACATCTGTACGCTACTAAACCAAATTAATCTTAAAAAAGAAAACGAAAACACTTTTCACTAAAAAAAATTCTAATAAGCGTATATACGAGTCCATACGAACAGGCAGGCAAGTGTACGAGTATACTCGTAGTTACGGTAGGCCTTCTAAAAAATCGAAATGAAAATTAACCAATCAAACTTTAGAAAAGTGAATACGACACCGTTATGCTGGGAATCGTCAATCGATCTGCAAGGAATTGATTGACGAAATAACCAAATCAATCATAAGTTTAAGCCAAGCTCTCTTTAATGTTCCTTTTATAAGTACAACTGCCATTCGGGAGGTCAGACTTAGATGCTTGGTCCGTCCAAGATCAAAAAATTATTAATAACAAATTCGAATAAGAAATTTTCCAATTTCAGTCGCCCCTTTACAGGGAACGACAAGCCCTATGAGTGTATTGCTGACATCAAAAGAGTGCCGCTTGGAGGCGGCTTAGTATAAACTGTAAGCCCCTCAACCATTAAGACGCGTACCACGAACTGGAGGAAGACTTCGATCGGAAATCGCTTCAATCAGCCGTGGTTACCATAAATATTTTGTATAAATGTTTTTTGTTGTTATTGTTTTTTTTAATTTGTCAATTACATTTAACTAGGTTCCATTGTCATCAGTTGCATTTAGTTCCAAGGCGAAATTTAGCCCAACTCATTTATATTTTCTTTATGATTGTTGTTGTAATTTATACAACAGCTCAATAGTTGTTGACTTGCGCGCATGCGGCATTTACAATTTCTATTTTTATGACTTCTGGTTGTCTTTATCTATTCTACACTTCCCACTTCTTTTCTATTCTCAATTCTTTTGCTGCTACTTCCCCAGCGAGTCAGTACTAATGGTGTAAATATGTACATACATGCATATATATACATAGATGTCCGATCATTTCTATTCTCCAGTGCCATAGTTGATGATGGCTTACACTTGTTGTTGTATGGGTTATATATGTTATACTCGTATGTATTAGTGTTCTGGCCAACGCTATTTTGTGGCGATGGTGACAAGTGATTTTTATTTTTAATTTTTTTTTTTTTTATTTTGTAATTTTTGTCTCCCATTTCTACAGGTCTTGGTATGTATGTTGGTTTCATTTTGTTGTGGTTTATATAATGATTGTTGTTATTGTCGCTCGTATTAGGTTTTACTGGCCTATTCTACACTCGGCAACATCATTGGGCTGCTAATTAAGGTCGCCACAGCATACTGAGAAGGAAAAGAGGCTAAGCAGATTGGCCTGCTTGTATTGTTCAGAGTAGTGGTATTGCTGGCGCTCAGAGTCTAAAACGCGTTGTGCGCCATGAGACCGTTAATTAAAGCTACTCATCGGAGCATTTTCTGAATGTATGCGCTCATAAATATTGTACAAACATACGAGCATATATGTACATAAACGTACGCATAAATATATTTATCTTCAGTTCGGCTCAAAGCCTCATTTTAATGTTGTAATTTAAAATTTACCTTAAATTATTTATTTCAAAAAGATCTAGTTTAGTCCTCTTCAATTTTGTATTTCTTCCATATTGAATGCACCACAAATTGGAATTTGTTAATGTGAGTTGCAAAAATGTAAACCAAGAAGAGGGAATATCGATGGAGTTCAGTTAACCATGCTATTTAAAGGCAGGCGTCGCTGCCCAGCTGACATGACCGCCGTCCAAGAGACGCGATGAACGGTGCAAGGTCCTCGTCACATACTCGTTCAAGTATACTCAGGCGGTCATACAAAGAAGCGTCTGGACATAAGCCACATTAAAGCGAGACCTTTTATCATTTGGCTAATGAAAGCGAAGGACGTTTTGCCCAAAGAAACATTCCCAGATGGATTGACCGCAGGCCAGATTCAGGTTTTAGTAAATTCTTCATGCTAAATGGCTGTTTCCGGATCAAAGAACTCCTTGACAAATCTATCATGTTATGGTGGACTAACGACATGTTTTCAGTAGTCTCGGTACGCTGCGAGGTCCAAAAATTAACTCGGATTACTAGGTAGTACTCGCAGGATTTGTCTGCTCAAAGTTGCAGTTGTCCTATAGAGCGTATTATGTGAGATATTAAAGCCGATCAACAAACAGATTAGACTTTATCAGTATGCCTTCATACCGGATTAATTCACCACTAACCAAATATTCACCGCTGACCAAATCTTTGAAAATACCTGTGAAATCAGAATCGAAATACACCATCTATTCGTCGTTCGTTTCATAGAGTCTTGGCTTACACGCTTTCAATAAAAGTTTTAGCAAATCTTAAGACAGCGGACACGCTGACTTGGTCAGGTTACCTTACTAGCTTGGAAAGTATTCGTTTTGTATTCGGAGTACCCTCCGGAGGAAGCAGAGGAAAGGAAAGACCTCGACTTCAACAGAAGGGCAGAAGAAAAGCACTTCTACTGGATTTTAGTTCATAAGATAATTTAAGGAAATGGAATAGTTAATGACACTATTAAAAATCCCCATTCGCCAGGCAACCAAATCAGTGTAAATCGGGGAGAGAGCAGGGGGGCAGGAAACGTATTACGCAGACGACTGTAGAGAGGCAGAAATGAGTGAGACGCGAGAACACAGCCTCTGTTTCTGTCTGAGTTTATCTAGAACAAGTCTAGTAGCCTCGCTGTTCAGTGGACACGATGAATTTTTATACGTGACGACTATTTCACCTCGAATGAACCTTTGTTTGGCACTACAGCTTTATATACGAAAGTATCCAGCCAGAATAGGTACGCATGACCTAACTGTACTGCTACACTCTCCAGTTTGAAGGATAAACCAAACCCACCAGAGTAACCTAACGTAAAAAATTGTCTAATTATCTAAAATCTAGGTCCTCCAACTCTTGATGATTTTCTAACAAATGGAAGTACCTAAACCGTCGACGGATGAGTTTTTATGAGGAGCTCCTTTTTTCATGTCAAAAATACACTCGGAGATATTGACATTCTCTGCCTAGGAACGAAGGTAATTATTGTAGAAAAATTAATTTTCTATAATTTTTGCATGTTGGCCGAACCAGGACTCGAGCCCTGTCCATTCGAATGTTAGTACTCAATGCTAGCAACTCGGCTATTGCGCCCGAAATCATAGTACGGCACAAGACTTAAAGTTATTGCCAAAAGACTGAGATCGCTACGCACATACGAGTACATACATACACACATACATGTGTAAGTTAGTTCTAAACCACATGATATTGTGCAATAATAATTGCATTGACTTTCAAGACTAATTGAGAAATGCTTTTGGTGCTCACCCAACATTACTAAGCATTGGTAACACGTCCTAAAGGAATTTATAAGCAATCTGCGCATGTAATGCTCCTTGACTGAAGAGCCTTATGCCTTAATGCAAAATATTGTTTAATATCTTTTGGCAATAAAAAATTTATTATGCTTTTACTGTGAACTTTCAACATTCTACGAACCTGAGAAAAGTGCTTACTGTCATTGTTACGACAGTTGTTTTTCACATTACATACATACAAATTGGCGCACACATCTGTGCTTATGTACATTAGAGCGCGCGACGTGCCGCCACTAAAACCCACACTCCGCCGCCAAAACAAATCCACGAACCGGCAAAAAGCGGACGAACACCAGTGCTTAATCGCCCCCTTGATGATGCTGTTATGCCATTGATGACGCTGATCGCCATGGCTTGTTCTAGAAAGCATTTTAATAGTTTTTCTTATTTTTTTTTATTTCAATTTCCAACAGTATTGTGGATTGCAGATTATGGCTGCTTGTTGCATGCAATATTTGATTGCACTTGATTACTACCGCCTTTCGTTAAACACATACACGTATACAATACAGGCACAATGTATGTATACATACAGACATACAGACATAAATGTTATTATTTGTCAGTATTTGGCCTGCGTTCCATGTTATGTCAACCTACCTGATCACTTTTCTTCATTATAAATCAATTAGGGAAAAATTCCAAGATAATATGAGTGCATGTAAGGATGAATATATGTATGCATATATGTATGTGCATACACATATGTACACACTCGTATGTATATAGTAATATATAAATGCATACTTAGCACTAATTATTGCATGATTTCTGCAATATATCTATATACACTCATACGTAACTACATATGTACATACAAATGTGCGTAAATATGTACGTTTTCGTAATAAAACCAGTCAACAACAATTTAAAGCAATTTTTAATAGTCTCAAAAGAGCAACGGCTTCATCAACGGAAACGGAATTTCCACATAAACCGCAAATGCACAGAGCAGACACATTCGTAAATATGATTTCTTCTTTCATTCCACATATTCGCTCTTTGAACTTCACTCAAAGATTCAATTCTACATTTCGGTCGGTAACTTTTCGGTGTTTTTAGACGCCTACATACGAGTAGGCAGGCACCTGTGCGCCCAACAGCTAAGAATATACAACAACAAAAAAAGATATCTTGGAGTCGTATGGCCTTAAAGTTTTTCTAATCGTAAAAGGTTAATATACGTACGTACGTACATACAATACATATACATATACATATGTATGTAGGTAACCATAAATTCTTTTTATGTATTTCTTGTTGACTTCGGCGTTTGCGTCTTGTTCAGTTAGCCACTCTTCATGACCATTGTTGTTGCTGGTTGATGTTGTTTTGCGTAAAGAAATCAATTTTCTTTCATTCTCACAATTGCCTTTGCAGCATTGGCGTATTAACGCTTCTTTAAAAATATTTGCTTTAACGAAACTACAATTTTTGTGTTTTTTATATTTAATTTATACTTTTTCGCTTTGCATTTTTGGCACAGTGAAAGTATTGTACAACAAATACACTTATCACTTCAACACTTTATATTTTCGTATCATTCACATAATTTTCCTTTATGGATATATGTACATATATGTATGTATAGCTAGATGAATGGATATGTATGCGATGGTGTAGCAGTTGCGCGTTAAGACTGTGCTCGCCGTTTGCAGACATGCGTCAACTCTCGATGGTTGGTTGCGACTGCGCTCGGCCAATTCTCATTGCGGCCACTTTGGTATTTAGCCACATAACAACATCTTGTCGGCTACTCAGCGCACTTGGCTAAAAGAGTTCATACAGTGTTGTTTCTTTATTTTCTTGCTGCGTGCTTTGAAGAAAAGTTTCAGAAAATATTTAAAATATTTTAATTTGTAGTAAAAATGTGAATGAAATGCACATTTTGCATTTAAAATATAATTTTTCCTTGAAGGGTTTTTTTATTATTGTTATGAAGTTTGAGCATTGGTATTATATGTATGTATGTGAAATACTACATCATTCAAATGACTGCCGCGAGAATTTTTGCAAGCTTCTATCCGTTTGAGGCACATATTGGGCGGTATCTCAGCCATAACTTGACAAATGTTGGTTTTTGAGGGCCCAAGTTAACGGTTTAACGCGTAGCTCCACAAACAAAGTGCAACGGTCTCAAATCGTACAATCTCAGTTGTGCGATATGTAGCATCATCTTGAATCATCATCTTCAATCATTGAAACCACAAATTGTCCAAATTGTGTTCTTCTAATGCAGGCCAAGAAAAGTCGAATATCATAAAATTTGTTGTCTATTCGCGTTTCGGACGGTCAGCTGGTTTCAGTTGTTTTGTGTATGTATGTAGGTGTAAGTCCAACTCCAAAATACCCCATAATGTGCCGTAAGAAATTTCCAAATCTTGAGAGCGGGAGGAAATAGACGCATTCGGATATTCAGCTACACACTCACGTACAGAAGCGATACTTGAGTTGGAACGAGAAAAACGATAATGCACAGACAGGCCTTACAAAATTTGCAACCGATCCGGTCTCTTAAAATTTCTCTAAAATTTAAACAACCGCTTCAGTATTTGGATGATTTGAATGGGTTGTGCGGTTGTTAAGCGATCCATTTTCATAAATGCCTGAATTTCAATTATAACACATCCAAAAATGATTTGACGGTTAAGTTTGACAGATCTTTGTTTTACTCTCATTTTGGCTCACAGAACCCGGTTCAGTTAAAAATGTTCTAGAATCTCTTTGGATTGTTTGCGTCTATTTGGGCAGAATGATTTTCTAGCCAATGAAAGCAAAATATCTCGGTTCGATGAGCAAGTCATTGTTTTATCTTTTACGGTAGCCGCCGTAGCTAATTTGCGGACTATCACATTACAGAACGCCGTCTTTGCAAAGCAATGATCGAATTCCCAAATTATTGTTATTATTTATCAAGCCGAAGAAAAGTAAAAAATATAATGGCTGGTTGCTACCCAAATTTGAGTTGGCCAAAAATAATTTAAGAACTCATTAAAATTGTACCCTTTTTACGTAAGTACATGGTTACATAATTTCATTCAGGCCAGGCCAATTCTTTTCAAATATTTTAATGTGTTTCTGAGAAAACAAGGACTGCAATACAACCATGAATTTGTCACGCTTTCCTAAAACTATTGCATGTACTAGTATAGCAGGTAGAGATATCTCAATTCAGGCAGAAAATGCCGAGTGTCTTGTAATATATAAAATACTAAAAAAGATTAACAACATTTTGACGTTGATGCGCCTTAAATTAACATTTTGAAGATTTAAAAGGTTTAAAACTGCTAAATTGTTTAAACAATCTTCAGTTGTAGATCAGAGCTTGTTCATGACACAAACGATAAATACATAAATTACATTTTTTGTATTAAGAAACATAAAACATAAATTTAAAAAAAAAATTAGTAAGAACAGTGAACGTAATAATAAACGTTATAAGTTTTCTGCGTAATACACGTTCTCTCTTGTTACAATTAATCGATTACCGTAAATAAATCCTTCACTAAACGTACCCCAGGAAAAACGTCAAAACGTCGCTGTGCAGTGTGTTAGCTTCCAAAGAAAAAAATAAAAATATTTCGTTCACGGAATTAAATTTACAAAAAGTTCAAAATACTGTATAAAAAAATGCCTGAATCGGATGTAACCAAAATGAAGGTGGCTGACTTGAAGCGTGAGCTAAAATTGCGTGGTCTCCCTACTACGGGCAATAAAACGGAGCTTCAAGACCGCCTACAAACAGCACTGCTTGATGGGGATATTTCCTTGGAAGATTCGGCTATTACAAATGAAGATGCACTCTTAGACGAAGACGCTGTACTTACCGACGAAGAAGAATCTCCTATTGCTGCAGATGAGAATGAACTTTTAAAAAGCCCAACCAGTACGCCTACGGCTCCCGAATCAGCTTCACCATTGAATGATAATAAAACGATTGCTTCAGACGCTTCAAAAATAGCAGCTAACCCTAAAAAAATTATATTGAAGCGTAAAACATCGATATCAATTGATGGCGAAAATAAGACTTCCCCAGAAGATGTTGCATCAGCTACAACAAAAGAGAATACCGAGCCGCCCAAAGAAAAAATACTAAAAATGAGCGAGCGAAATCCGATTACCGTAAGTGATATCACTATTAAGGAGGTATCAAACACAAAAGCAAAAAACACAGGCGCCGGTGACGCTGCCAGCGGTAAAAAAGTGGTTACCTTAACTCAAATGGAACGGTTAGAGCTTCGTGCGAAGAAATTTGGAATTGACTCAAATTCAACCAAAAAAACAACTACTCCGACCACCAAACCGGCGAGTAATAAAAAACTCATAATAGAGCCCATTGTAAATGACGCCAAACAAATTGAGATGCTTAAAAAACGCGCAGAGCGCTTCGGTTGTGTTGTGTCTTCAAAAATGGCCAAAATCGATGCTGCAGAAAAGTTACTGAAACGAAAAGAACGGTTTGGTGCGGGAAAAGCAGCTGCCATAACCGCTAGTGCAACGGCTGGAACGGCAAACACAAATGATGTGTGGGCAGAAAAGGCACGTGCTCGATTGGAGCGCTTTAAAAGTACACAAACGTCATTAGCAGCCGAGAAAAAGGTAATTACTTCAGCGAGCAGCGGCACAGAAAATAACGAGTCAAGCAAAGAGTCTGCGCCAGTGGTCACAACAGCAGCCCCTCAAGCTACTGTTGCTGGCAAGTAAGCCCGGCCATAATATAAAGTAATTATTTGTACCATCACCCAAAAAAGAAGCATATACAAAAATATATTTGTACTACTCCCACGAAGGGTATTCTAGTTAAATTTTTACCCCTAACATTCAATAACTATCAGCGTATTTAAGCATAAACACTTACTCAATTGAATATGCGAATTTGTTTCAAATAAAATGTATCGTTTTAAGAGTATTTTTTTCTTATTAACTATAAAATAAAATATTCAATATTAACAAAATTGAAGAATAAAACAGCAGTGTAAACTTTTTTTAAATCCTAAGTTAACCGCTTCATCGCCCCATATTGCATATACATATGCATACGTACACACAATAACAGCAAATCTAGATGTTTTGGGAATATTGGTCTTTATTGTTTAATTGAAAATGGCTTTTAATACGTGGAAAAAATTACAGATGGGAAGATTTGATAACTGATAAATGCAGTAACGTACGCTGTATTCATATACGAGATCTTAAGTTATGAACGTCAGAATCCACTTTGACAAAACATGTTTCGAATTTATTTTCCCCCCGAGTATTGAACCGAATGATTTTAATGTTTTTAATTAATATCTTTGACTTCTAATTACGTTAAAAAAAAAAGGTTTCCCATAAATTATTTGTCTACTATACAATTCTCCTCGACATAAATTATGATAACATTAAAAATAACCGTTATTTTAGTGTATATTTATTTGGCCATAAAGGAAAATATTTTCGAAATGTTTTCAGTTAAACGACTATGGAAGTACGCTTAGTTATGGCTAACTGCATGTTTCTGCGGTTCAGTTGCTTTTGCTTTTGCATTTATCTGATAATTTCTCAAATTGAATATGCAGTGAAGAATTTGCTTATTTTTTAAATTATATAAATAATACAAGCGAAGTCGTACAGAAATAAAAAAACATAAAATGTATGTGAGGAATAATGAAATCTATGAGCTAAAATCAAGTTCTTTTATTTAAAAATATGTAACTTTAATTGTTCTGCCATCCATGCGAGAACCATCCATCAATGCTGAAATAATAGATAGACAGTTAAACATTTTTTTATTCGAACAATTTGTTAACAAAAGTATATTTACCGATAGCCAACTCAGCGTCCCGTTCTTTGAAAAATCGTACTACACCCAAATCATTTCCCCGAATTTCAGCAAACTTTACTTCTCCAACATCACGGAATTTGTCCCGCAAAGTTTGCCAGGTGCAGCTAAGTGGGATCTAAAATCAAAATTTATTTATATTTTCCTCGATATACTTAATAAAATTTACTATCTTACATTCTTTATAATAATGGTGTCCGATTTGCGAGGATTACTACCAGCATTGCCTGCATTACCGCCGCTACTGCCACCTCCACCGTACATGTCCAAATTACCACCACTAACACTGTAATCGTTACCATCCATAGCGCCACCAACACCGCCAGAATTGGCACTGCTGGTATTGTAGGCATTGAAGCCACCACCAGAATTTCCGGTACTGCCGGTGTTATATCCCGAAGATCCACCGAAACCAGAGCTGTAGTTATTACCAGTGCTATAATTATTAGATAAAGCTGCATTTGCCGAGGACATAGAGTCGTCATTTCCGCCACCAGATGGTCCTAAATTCAAGCCGAGATTGCTTAGGGATGTTGTAAGTAGTGGATTCGAAAGTGCGGCACCCAGACCACCAACCACGTTAGATAATGCTGCCAAATTGGTTGTTGATAAATTTCCCAGATTCAAACCAGCAGCACTATTACCCAATGATTTTGCTGCTGCTTGAACAACTGGTGCTACCGGCGATGGTTGGACGGCTTGACTGTTGTACATGCCGCCATTGCCACCACCACCGTTACCTCCACCACCCATACTCGCAACCATGTTACCTAGAATATTGGCTCCGGCTTGAGAAGACATCGATGATTGTGTTGGTTGATTTTGTTGTTGTATAATGCTGGGTAAATTTCGGGCCACATCTTTCAGTGGTTCACCATTCGGCCCCAGACCAATGCCAACTCCACCCAAACCTTCGGGTAATTTCAAACCTTCACCCTTGTCAGGGATGCGATCCAAACGCACTGTCATACGTCGATCGAATAACATTTGACGATCCAACATAGAAATAGCCTGAACAGCTTCAACTGGATGATCATATTCGACTACAGCGAAACCGCGACTGTTACCCTCTTTGTCGACAGATAGGTCAACACTCTGTACCTTTCCAGCCAGTTTGAAAACTTGTTTAAGTTTCTTCGTGTCAACTTTATAGTCCAGCTGTGGGAGATTACAAAAAATAAAATTAAATACATGTACCCTGGACACCCAAAAATACAAACTTATATTTACTAAAATGTAGTTATGCATAGCCAGTGTGAAGCCGACGTAGTGTGCTTACGCTGGAAAGCCCTAGTGAAATATTCTCGGACGTATGGGGTGAAAATGTTATAAGACAACAGAAAATTTTTTATAAAGCAGGGTGAAATCCTAAATTATTCTCAGCTCTGTGAATTTCCATCGACCTCGGAGTTGTATGTATACAAAAACCATATTGTAATTTATCATAAACATTGAATATTTCCAAACTGCATACCACAAAATTTTACCAATGGAATACACTGTAGAACTTTAACATTTCCAACTCTCATATAAACAAAATTATCATTTATTTTGAGAAGTATAGATTTAGCACTAAGATATATGAACATTTAAAAACCTATCACTTAAGACATTCTCAAACGAAGACAGCATTTTGTGTACAAAAGCAGGAAATTATGTTTGTATACGCGCTGAAGCCAATATTAAATTGATCCGATAAACGAATCAGAAACAAATAAATGCATTATAAAAGTGGTAAAAAAAAAAACCTTATAAAACTGATTAGAATTTTTTCCCAGTGACTACGTCAACAATATCCCTATGGCTGCAGAAAATTAAATTTCAAAATATCCAAAGCAAATTTTTCAAATATTACTTTTTGATTCATTTGTAGTTGTAGACGATTCGTAGGCAATATCATATATTTATATGTATTTGATTGGCATTTTATAACCAAGAAAAGCGATTTTCGACAAATACTCGTTCCCTACGTAGCTACTAAAAGCTCAACACATGACCCAAATATTCAGGAGGAAAGCAGCACCAGCTCTAGCTCTAGCGACTTTTGCAGTTTTTTATGACATATTTTTAAGACACCCAGGGTTAAAAGCTCACAACGCTCGATATCAAAACTTATCTTTTTTTTTTAAATTTGGTTTTCTTTAGTTAGTTAAAAATTTTATACTCACATTAGCAACAAAAACCTTATTATGCAAAGGTCCACTTATGCCCAGACTCTCCAAAAACGAAGCAGAAAGCCCATACAAATTGTAATTCGATGAATTATTAAAATCATTCGACATCATGTTAAAATTATTACGCCCAGATCTAGAAAAAGAACACGTTATGGGAAAAAGTCAACGGTAAAGAAATCAATCCAGAGAAACAAAGACCAAGTTCGGCTAATAAAAACGTCGAATTGCTCGTTGCTAACATATGATTAGGGATAAGGAATTTTACATAACAAAAGTCCACCAAAGTATTGGTACATGTTGGTTTTTTTAATACGCACATTATAAAAATTAAAATTGAAAGATAAAACTTAAACTTCCTTTTGATGAAAATACTCCTGCAGGCAGAGAAATACATTAACTACAACTAGGAGTATTTCCAGTGAAAAATACTAGATATACTCGATTAGTTGTTCAATATTCGACCAAACAATCAAACTACATACTTGTTTCTGAAACACGAAATTTAAATATTTTCATTGGATTACTTATAAAAAAAAGATGTCAGTCGTTTCGTTATGGTAGAAAAAAGGGATCGCACCTAATGATACTTTTTAATAAAATTACAGTTAATATTACATAATATGAAAAATATTAGAGCCAAAGAATTTATAAAGATAAATATATTTGAAGAAATAAACTTGTATCACCTAAACCTCTTGAATTAAACTGGAAAAATTTTGAAACAAATTCAAGAACAGGTTAATCACGAATTGCCCATATTGACGATGATTTTCTATAGTAAGACAATTTTTGAACGTGTCATCGATTAGCCCAGGAAACAATAAACATACAAAATCTAGACTAAATAGAATCTTCTTCTACACACAATATTAGGAAAAAAGGATGCCTATTTAACCCAAAATATTACATTTTGAATAAACTACTTAACAAAGTAAATCTCTGAATAAACGAAAGTTATGCAAGGTTAAAGGGTACGCCGTAGAAGCAGCTATAATGACTGTATCATTAATATTTCATAATAAATCACAATTATCTCCTCAAAATGATTTAAGCTTTTTATTATTTCAAATAAATACCTGTCGTCATCACGGCGAGAAAACCCTCTATCTCTATCACCCATATCGACACCAACGCCGCCACCACCACCTCCTCGCGGGGGACCTCCGCCATCACGGACAATACGTCCATATTGATCGCGCTGTTCACCATGATCCTCTTTAACAACTAACTCGCGCCCATTTATCTCGTATCGGTTCATTTTTTCCAATGCTTTCTCCACGTTATCGGGATCTTTAAATTCAACAATACCACATCCACGAGCTTTTCCATTTTCATCGTGAAACAGTTCTACATATTCCACAGATCCCACTATACGTCGGAATAAATCTTTCAAATCTTGCCAGCGATAATCGTATGGGATGTTGGAGATATAAACACGACAGTTCCGTCGCTCACGGCTACGTTCACGGTTGGTGTTGCCACCAGAGATACTGCTGCCACCAGCACCTCCGCTACCTCCACCACTGGCGTCGGCATCGGAAAATCTTGATGCACGTGCTCCACGGCCCCGTCGATCCCGTTCTTTATCCCGACTATCGTTAGAATTGTCGTTGCCCTCGGTCTTCATAATATCCTGCATTTGACAACAAAATGTAAGGTTTTTTCTATGTTCTGCAAAGAAAAAGCATAATTAACCAGTGAGAACTTTTGCAAAAAAAAAAAAAAAAAGTTCAAGAAATCTAAAATGGCGGATGGAATTTATAGCGTGAAATACAATAAATAAATCACCCACCAGATTTACAACAAAACGACGTTGAAAATACTATTTAAACACTTAATGCTTTTTGAATGCTCAAATCTGTAAATTTATAAATAAATACTTCGTTTCAGAATTTTTTTGCGCAAAAATCAATCGGAATTAATGTCTGTAAACGTTTCTTCAGAACAACGCCAATAGATAGACATAAAGAAAAATGGCGGAATATTGAATGCCATCCGAAGTTGTTCAGTGTTGGAGAGCAACCAAATACTATGTGAAGAGATTAAAAAATTGTGTGATGCATGCGTAAGAACAATTATTGTTATTTTCGAATAATAATGTTAAATATAAAGAGTTGTTGGTATCAATGTTACGTATAGTCAAAGATATTAAAAATATATTTGTTATATTCAAAATTTATAATTTGAAAAGCAATATTCATTGTGAACTACGTTCGCAATGAACCAGAGAACGTATAATATACGATATACGTTATTGTACGTTCTCTGATGAACTGCAAATCAGCTGTTATGCTATTAAATATTTTTCATCTTATCATTTTACCTATACAAAAATGAGCTCGGCTTTAAAAATATTAAATGTAGCAAAATGTGTTAAAACACTTTGCAGTAGTGTTTCAAACAAATTTTTATCATCTTCATTATTAAACAGGTATATCGGCTAAACATAACATTATAAGTGATAAATAAAAAATTAAATGTATTTTACATAACCTGAATCTCTCGCACAGAATGCAAAGCCAGCAACAACAAAATGTTCTGACTGCCTTAAGTGCGTTAAATACGCGGACATTTCATTCAACCAGTCCCCGACAGGATTTAATGGAATTCTTTGATGATCCAAAGAACTGGTCAGAAAACGAAGTAAAAGTTGGGCGGGCTTGGAAGCTGGAAGAACTGCGTATTAAATCAAATAAAGAGTTGCATCAATTGTGGTACATTTTGTTGAAAGAGCGAAATATGCTTCTAACTATGGAACACGAATGCAATGATAAAATGGAACTTTTTCCCAGTCCAGAACGCTTGGATAAGGTAAAAGCTTATTTCGTAAACTACTATTCATCACAATAAAGTCGTTTGTTACAGGTTAAAATATCGATGGGTAATTTAGAAACAGTTGTTCGTGAAAGAAACAAAGCTTATCATCTTTTAGAAACCGGCATAACTGGTGAGCGACCAACTCGTATGGTGCATAATCCTCTTGGTTTAAGGCATCTTTACAGGTATTATTTGTCTTAATAAATAAACTGGACTTGTATTTCAAAAATAATATATTTTAGATCATGCGAGCATGTGCTACCACCACATATGAATGTTAAGTGGATTAAATCCCGAGATATTGGTTTTGGTGGCCGAGCAGTTCGGAAGTTCTTATTATTATATCGTGAGAAACTCTACAATATTAAACGCAAGGCTAAGAAGTATGATGTTTTAATATTTATATTTAATAAATTAGTATATCTAACATTTTTTTATATTTTAATTAGCCGCTCCCGCAACGAAGTCATGATGCTGCTAAGACGGAATCCGAACATAGATGTTCAAGTATTGCGTAGTAAATACCCGAATGTAGACATAGATAAATTATTAAGAGATGACAAGACGCGTGGACATTTCGTGCCGAAAGTGGGCGTTTGATTTATTCTCAATTGTAATAAATATAAAGATATGAATATACATGTATTTATTTATTACTTCTGTTTGTTCTCATACAAGAACGAAAGGTGGGGAGCTTAATCATTATCTTCAAATTTTATCTTTTTGCCCTGAAAAGACGCTATAGCTGGTTTTTGTTTTTGCTTAGCAAGCCATGAAGGATGAAGTCCATCAGTAACATTTTTCGATACATCTCTTCCTTTTAACGACTTAACAACATCACCGACATGGTCAGCATCACCCTCGTCTCCAAATGTCGTTTTCTTGCCCCTGAATTCTGTTATTGTTGCTTTGAATTTTTGTTTCGCCGCCCATGAAGGGTGCAACACTTCTGCTTTACTCTCGGAAAAATAATCTCTCTTGTTTGACATTACTTGACTTTTTACATCATCCGATTTAGAATTATTAATTTTAATTTCTTCGTTACTGCTCGTTTTGTCTTCATCATCGAACTTGATTTTCTTTCCTTGGAAACTACCGATCACAGGTTTAAGTTTTTGTTTGGCAGCCCAAGAAGGATGCAGATTCGCGGTCATGTTTTTCTCCACTTTACTATTGGCGGCGGTACGTCCAATTTTTTTGTTGTTTACTTTAGATTTAGAATTGACTGAGTTGTAGTTGTCTTTTGTATTTATATATTTACCAGCAACAATTTTTTTATCTTCTCGAGGGTTATACTCTTCAGTATTTAAAGCCTTTCCATTACGTACAACCACCGCTGAAGAACGATAGCTTTCACCGCTATTGGTAATAAAAAATGGATCGATAACGTGTGTTGTATTGTCTTCGGGTGCAACTACTTCTCTACTTGCTTTCAAATTCAGCTCAGCAATTGAATCTACCCTGTCGTGTAAAATGTTTTCAACAGTGCTTTTCTCATTGTTATCAATGCACTTATTTTCCATTAGATCTGAAGGATCCGAAACAACTTTACGAATATTTTTAGTAATATCGTTACGTCTTTTATTTTCTAATTTCTTTGCGGTTAGCTGTTTCTTCGGCAAAATTTTTTTACCGGTTGGTGCATTTATAGCAGGTTCGTCTACAAATTTATCTTCTATGGATTCGATCTTCCAATAACCAAGTGTAGAAATATTCGCTCCTTCATCATATCCTTCTAACGTTTCATTGCTATTATCATCTAGACCGTTTTGATTCTGTAAAATATTTTGATTTTTTAACCATTCTATACGTTTACGTGCAATAGCCTTTTGCTCTTTTGAATTCTTACGACTTTGCCGTTTCTTTTCGGTTTTCAAAATTTTAATTTGCTTCTTACTCGCTTGCATCAACTCATTTTTCCAAACCTTATTTTCTTTTGTGATTCCTAACTTTTCTTTGAAAACTTTTGTCAATTCCTGCATATCGTTATTAGTAGCAACCATTGCCACAGCCATCTCTTCTGGTGAAGATAATCCGTTCGTTAAAATTGCTGAAGGCACCTTCTCCAATACTAGCACATTCTTCATCAATACGACACATTTTAATTTTTTCATTTCATCCAAAATGAAAGTTGCCTTGCGAAAGCGCTCCTTATTTTTCTCATGTTCCGGCTTTTTATCCAATAAATATTTTAGTTTCTTTATTTTTTGAACTAGTTTCTGAATGGAATGAGCCTTTATGCGTTGAATCTTTTTCTTGTTAGTGACAACCTATGAAAATAATTCATTAAAATTTTAAAATAAAAGCGGAGTGTATTATTATTCACCAAATTGTTGAAGTCCAATTTATTTATCATTTTTAAGCTGTATACTATTTTCAAATCTTGCACGCTTTTTACAAATTTCAATCCATTTGTTCATTGATGTTTTCTTTTATTGTGATTGCAACGATTCTCAGCGGTGCCATCTCGATTTTAATTAATGCAAATGCTTATTATAACGATTTTCGCTAAATAAGTCGCGATGATTTCCAACATCTTTCCAGTTTTCGATGAAATATTTTTCAATAACACAGTTTACTATATATCCTAAACACACAGTTTACTAACCATAAAAATCTCTATAAGTCCAAAGTTTGTACTTCTATAAGAACACGCTGATGAGTTCACTGTGGCTCTTATATACCTAACGACTTCTCGCATGCATATCTCGAAAATTCCACTTTGATTGTTCCTGATAGAAATATTTGATACACGCTATAGAAAATATTCTAATTGTCGGCCTCTCCTTTTAACCTTATGTGCATATTTTGCATTTATGATTCTTGCCCATACAATGTAATCAAATATATATATATATATATATAACTGTTTATTTCGAGTATTTAGTTCGTGAACATAAAAAATCGCATTCGTATAATTATAAAAACTATAATTGCCTTAATTTAAATTTTTAGCTATGTAACTTATGGGCAGAAACATTTTACTCTGTTTATGTCGAGTATATTCGTTTTCCTTACGATGATATTTTACGTTCTTTTATAAAACTTCCGCAACGTTATTCTTGCAGCTTTGTTGCGTTACGTTCGCAATGCTGGGTTAGAAAAGATCCCAGTTAAAGCAACCATGTGTAGGCAAAATGGCGACGAATTTGAGTTGAAAAGCAAAGCAAAAATCGGGGCGGACAGTGTCTTGTTGATCTTTTATTGAAAAACGAATATTTTGCACCGAATTTGTTAAAAACATAAACAAATTGCAATCATCATTTACTTTTCCAGTTGCACCATCCACACGTGCAACAATTGTACAGAGTGAGTTTTCATTTATATTCAAGGAAAACGGCTAATATATCAACAAATAAAAGTGTAGTAAGAAATTAGTGAAAGAACAAGAAGAGACAAGGAAGATGAGACAATAGGAACATAATTTTCTGTGATCGAAGTATTTAGCATTGCTAATGAAAGTAAGCGTAATCGCTATTAACCAACATAATACAATAATTGCATTTTCAAAATCGTTTGTTATTCTATCAGCCTGTTTTCTGTGCATATAACGAGATTAATCATTTATAATCTAGGTTGTACTAGTTTTTGTAGGAAACTCCTTTGAAGTGCCTACATACACATGCACACAAAAACTTTTCACTGCACTCATGTCTTATGGGCGTATGGGTTTGATGATGGAAAAGGGCAATGCAGCGTGTTATAGTAGGCACTGTTTTTATTTTTTATTATAAATTTTGGGACATGTCTCGATATGAGTCACTCGTAGCGATGAAGAAATCTATATGAAAACATATATCAAAACTAAAATTTTACCATTAATCTTTATGACTAAAATTTTAATTACTATTTACAATTCTAAAGAACACAAATTTTTAAAATTTTTTTTATCTTTGCGTGAAAAAGCAATTCATCATTCTTAGTTTTTCCTGTAATTTATTTATTTTTGTTTTACATTTTAGTTGTAAAAAGGAACAAGACAAGTGTATTTTGTAAAAAAAAACGTTGAACTGTTGAGTTGTTAAAAAATTGAACTGGGTGTCAAATATTTTCCACATAATAAAGGATCATCAATAGTAACCAGAAAAACTTGCAGAAAATATAATGACGGAGTATAAATTGGTGGTCGTTGGTGCTGGAGGTGTAGGAAAATCTGCACTAACAATCCAATTAATACAAAATCATTTCGTAGATGAATACGACCCCACCATTGAAGATTCATACAGGAAACAAGTTGTTATAGGTGAGTAGTTATGTTTGTGATATATAAATATAAAAATAAGGTTCAATATATCCTTTTGTTTTTCAGACGGTGAAACTTGTCTACTAGATATTTTGGATACCGCTGGTCAAGAAGAATATTCAGCTATGCGTGATCAATATATGCGCACTGGTGAGGGGTTCCTGCTCGTTTTTGCGGTGAATAGTGCGAAATCCTTTGAAGATATTGGTAAGTTTTACGAAATTTCAAAGCTTATAAAAAACTGTCCTCTCTAATTAAGTAATCCAAAATCTTTATTAAAAGGAAAAGTTTGGAAAAACATTTTAAAGTATGTTTTTAAGCAACCTGTTATTGTTGTTGCTTTAATCGCAAACTATTCCCCGAATTGGATTTTAGTCGCCTCATGGCCTTGCCACGGGTGAATTTTTAAGCCCCTAACCCGCAGGGGCAAATCTTTTGTTTTCGCTTTAATTGTTTAGAAAAAATTGCAAATAAACTTAAAATTAATTGAATGTAAAATTCGAAGATTGTATTAAATTTATCCTCAATTTTTTATGAAGGCACATACCGAGAACAAATAAAACGTGTTAAAGACGCAGAGGAGGTGCCAATGGTGCTGGTAGGCAATAAGTGCGACCTGCAAGCCTGGGCAGTTAATATGAACCAAGCCAGAGAGGTGTGTAAAGCTTTGCAATTTTATCGCATACAATTTTATTGAAAATTCTTTAGAGAAACCTTCGTATATACCATAACAAAGTTGAAAACATTTTAATGTAAAAAAAAAGATTTTGATTGATAAAGAGTATATTTTATTAATTATATGTATGTCAACATTTCTAAAGAATTTAATCAAAAAAATTACAAGTGTATTTTGAAACTCAATTATATTATATTTGTTGTACTAGGTGGCTAAACAATATGGCATTCCTTTTGTTGAGACATCAGCTAAGACACGAATGGGTGTGGATGACGCCTTTTACACATTAGTACGCGAAATTCGAAAAGACAAGGAGCATAGAGGGAAGAAGGGACGCAAACACCATAAGCTACCACATCATAAATTTAAATGCGACCTCCTCTAAATTCCCCAGTATGAAGGCAAAAATAGGTTGAGTAACCTACGCATTCGGACAACCGGACCATTTCAACAACCAAAACAACAACGAAAACGAACTAAATAGACATTCGAAAAGAGAGGAAGCCTGTGATGAGGAGGCTGTAATACAAACATAAATAAAATAAAGCAAATAGTGACTACAGCTGCAACCGGAAATGAAGCAACAGATTGAGTGCATATTTTTTCATCTACAAATCAGCATAATATTAGGTATAACGCACATTCATATACAAGCGCAAATTTTACAGACATGAGAGTACACACAGATGAATAAAACTTGTGAAAGTGTATGAGAGTAATGAACTAAAACTAAACTTACAATAACCAAATGTTTTGAAATCAAATAATTACAAATTTCTTTCGGCGGAGTATATATATGTACATGTACATTTAATGTCTAACTTTTAACACTGCGCACAATTATTTAAGTTTTTTCTTTCTTTGTTCATTACAACTGAACGTTTATGATAAAAAAATTTAATATTTAATTTAACGTCTTTATGGCTATTAATATTTTCCACTATTTGCTGTTTTTTTTATTGTGTTCTACATGTGCTTTCCATGTGTCAGTAATATGTATTTTTATAGCAAAATAAGGATAAGATATGCGACTTTGGTAAGAAATATGCAGTGTTGCATACCAAATATTTGTGCCGCTTTATGTATTGAGTAATTGTACATTTCTAAAACGTTTTTGGCAAGAACGCAAATTCAACAAAAAAAAGTCTGCAAACAATAATATACTTGAGACTTGATCTATAACTGTAAAGTATTTTTTACAAAGAAATTCCCGAAATTAAACAAAAATAAAATCAATCATATTGTAGCGACTTATAAACATTTAAAGTTAGAGTTTGCAAGTGATCGAGTTTCAACTGTATTATTTGTATAAATAAGTTTTTCAAATGAATGAATATAAACGAATTCAACTTGCCCCCTTTTTAACTGCATCATTCTGTAAACTTGTGCCTATGTTTTTTATGTATGTATGTTAACATATAAATAAACATTTGGTAATTTAGAAAATAAACTTATTTAGGAAGGTAATAATAAAGTTAAAAAATGCTAACAAAATAAAAGAATATGAAGGTAAACTGAGTGTAATAGTTGTAACGCACAATAGACGTTGGCCTGATTTTTTTTTTTTAGTTTCCAACATACATAAGTAACTTGTGTTCGAGATGATTTTGAAACCCGTTTTATACTTTAATGGTGCTAAAATGAACCTAGCGTGCATATTTTTATAAAAGTGAGAATAAAAAAATAATAAAATTATGAAGTTATAAGTTTATCAGTTCGTTCTTTCATGTCACGTTTTTTTATTTTTATTCTGTATGGTATAAAGTTATCAAACGATTTCAACATAAGATTAAGACGTATTGATTTTGAATGTCATCATCTTTATATTTTATATGCATACATATATAATTTATTATATTCATTCATAATACATACATATATAAATCATCAACTGAATAAATTTGCGAAATTTTTCATGTACATAAATACGAATAATGAGTGAGTATCAGTTCTACAGCATATTATTTTTCCGCTGGGATGTTATGCTTATTTTCTTCACATTTGAAAATATTTTACAATTACTTAGCATGTGCTAAATTCGATATGAAAAAAGGAAATCGAATGCAAAATGACGAATTGATAATTGAACTTTTATTATTCTCGACCAATAAGTGTTAAACTAAATAAATCATCATCAAAAAACTGAAAAAAAAACACTGAAATATGGCTTAGACTTCGAATTCACAACATGACTTCCTAGGAATCTGCTATATACATCGTCTTCATAATTTTCTTATTACTCATAAAAATAATTTGAAAATATATATGTATGTATAACACCTCTTAAAATGTTAATGGATTGATTAAATAAAGTATTTGAATACTCATTTTAAAAGAAAATAATATGATGTAATTGTTTTTTAATTAATCTGAATAACTTCTGAAATGCTTAATACTTCCACGTTACCCCTGCCTAGGTATAGTGTAGATCATTTAACATTTCTTTAGAAAGTTGACAAAATTTTGTCAAGGGAGAAAGTACCACAAACGAGCTAACTTCTTAACTCAATTAAGACCTTATAAGGAATAGTATGGCGTGCCTTGAAAAACTAAAAAACAAACGCCCCAATACTATTGGAATATATAATCAATTCACAGCAGCTGTTAGCTATATAATGGTCAAAAATAATTACATTACGGTTCTCAGCAAGTTTTTTTTTATCTGGAAACCGCTTTGTAGACTATATATTTATGCAATCCATATTCTCTAAATATATACCCTACATAAGTTAAAAGTCTGAAATTAATTAAAATTCTACATAATCAAATGTATTGTATAATAAAAACCAATACTTATGTTTCAGTTCACGCTTAAGATCTAATACCACAGATTTTGTTGCTTATTTATCTCTTAAATAAAAATCTGATCTAAAATTGTATATCAATGAAGTGTACTATATATTTAAGTTGTATACTTTCCATTAATTAAGTATTTAAGAGAGGACATATGAGGTTGTCAAATATCTCCCTCTTTTTTGCTCTTCATTCAATGCTTTATAAAAAGTGTTACAGTGGTCGGATTTAGTTAAAATATGCGCCGTTTTGTTCGATGATCTGTTTCCATCTAGACGGCAACTTCATAATACCTTCCTCGTAGAAGCCTCCCTCCTTATTAGCGAAGAATTCGGACAGCCACTTTTCACAAGCCTCTTTTGAGTTCAACTTCACACCGCCAAGGGCGTTCGCCATGGACAGGAACAGGTGGTAATTACTTGGCGCTACGTCCGGGCTATATGGTGGATGCGATAAAACCTCCCATCCGAGCTCCCGTAGCTTCTGGCGAGTCATCAACGAAGTGTGTAGTCTGGCGTTGTTCTGGTGGAACACTACACCCTTCCTGTTGGCCAATTCTGGACGCTTCTGGTCGATCGCCTGCTTCAAGCGGTCCAGTTGCTCGCAGTAGATGGTAGAATTAAGCGTCGGGACATATGGGAGCAGCTCATAGTGGATGATTCCCTTCCAATCCCACCAAACACACAGCAAAACCTTCCTGGCCATCAATCCCGGCTTGCATAGCGTTGTTTTGTAGGTTATGTCAAGACCTTTCAAATTATGTATAGTGTTGCCAGATATGAGCTCTGTAGCGCTTTGTACATAGCCGCGAAATTCAAAAGACAAAAAAGCGGAAGGGAGATATTTGCAACCTTAATTAATAATGTTGATAATCTTTAATACTTATGACTTCGCATAAATACGATGTTTTCAATTACAATGGATTGAGAGAAAAATTTCGAAACTTCCTTTTTCAAGAATTATAAATTAAGGTGTAATTATTCATAAATAAAAGATTACTTGTAAAATATGGTAGCTCTTATTCAGTTCAAATTTGTTTGTATAGACAGACTCTTTCAGCAAACATACCTAGACTGTGCTTTTTTTTAAATTTTGAATATGAGTCCCGGCAAAATATTTATAATTATTTCAAACTCGACCAAGTTTCAAGTCAAAGATGTTCCATACCTAATTTAAACAGGCATGCAGTGAAGATGTTAACTAACGATGTTATCTCTCCTATCGCAGTGGTCCATAGGAGGTGAGATGAGACCTAAAGGGGTTAAGCTTTTACTACCTATTCATGCTTTAATTGTACTAGGCTTACACGAAGCTCGAACTATTAATTTGCAAGAGGTAGACCTGTAGGGCAATTCTCTATCGTATTGTTACGATTTTCGGATCGTTATAATGACTTAACGATAATTTTAACGATTTTGCTATTCTCTAAGCACAGTATAACGATTTTCGGATCGCAAATTAGACTTAGCGATATTTTTAACGATAATCGCTATTCTCTAAAATGGTATAACGATTTTCGGATCGCAAAG